TGAACAACGAATTTGCAGCCTCGAACTCGTGCAGCTGCCCGCTCGCCAGCATGCCTGCTGCAAAGGAGGCGAGCCGTCACACAAAAGCAAGATGGAGGATCTCACAGTCGAAGTATGCGGCGAAAACGGAGTATATTATAAGGTTCGTTCTGTGAAAAGTATACAAAAAACAGGGCGGAAGATTGAGGCCGTGGATAGACTAACTTACGGCCCATGGCGCGGTTCTAATCTCACAAAAGAGACGCCCGTACTTCGCGAAAGCGCGGCCCTCAAATGTTCGCGAGGTAACGCGGCTTCCTCCGACGCCATGTCTCGTTTGACAGGGCGTGATTTTCGTCAGCTTTTGATGTTGCGATTCGTCTCAACATTTTCCCAATTCATAAAAACGCATATCTTTAATATCAGAATTATAAAAACACCACTTTCTAGCGTATCCCGAAAGTATCGCGGTATTATGTCCGAATGTCTTACGCTACTCATTATACCTGTGATTCTTGTACGAATGAATTTATATGCTTTATGTTTCATTTTTTCAGGCCTTTGTCACAGATGTCTTTGAGGACGAGGTTTTAGTAACATTTGAAAATGAGTAAGTTTTTTTTTCTACTTTTTAAAAACAGTTTAGTTGCTAATATATTTGAACATTTACCCTGATACTCTGAATTAATAACAGTGTAGTCTCTTGAGCACAAGAATTATACTATTTTTATCAGCTATAGGAAGTCTAATATTTCTAATACCTGCATCAACAATTCCAAAAATTATATAATATTTATGGATATTACTTGTTATCATTATTTGATTAATTATAACTTTTAAAATTTTTTTATACATTTATTTCTATATATATATTAATAGTAAAAATTATATTAAATGCTTAAAATGTTACTGAAAGTATTTAAAAATTTAATATAAATGATCATATATAAATTATTAAATTTTTATATTGTTTTTTTTACATATATTTATATTAGTCTAAATTTTAAATATATACAAATTATAATATGTAGAATGAGATATATTAAAATTCTATTTTATTTAATTATAAATCGAATAAATAATGTAACATAATATGTCAATGAACAAAAAAAATGACAATATATTATTTTATAAAATTATAATTTTAAGAAATAAATATTTATACATATAAACGCAATAAATATTAAATAATAAACATTTTATATATATTAAATATGGTTTATTGAATAATATTTAAAGATATATATCCTTTTGTTAAAGTTTATTATAATCTTGATATTATATATTTAATAAATTTTATAATTTTGCAATATTATTCAAAATATTCAGAGGTAATTTATAACTATTGATTGTGTTTTAGTTGGCAACCGGAATCAAAATTTCCATTTGCTCAAGTACGTCTACCTCCAACAGATGGTCAAAAACCAGAATTTTCTGAAAATATGGAGATTGAAGTATTTTCTAGGTCCAATGAGCATGAAGCATGTGGATGGTGGAAAGCAATCATTAAGGTAAATGAAAAATTATTTTCCAACATATATGAGATTTATTACAATGCAATAAATATATATATATATAAAATATTACAAATGAAATTATCATTTTAGATGAGTAAAGGAGGTTTTCAAGTAGTTGAATATTCGGGATGGGAATGTGCTTATACTGAAATTGTAGCTAGTGAACGACTGAGGGCAAAAAATCCTAATCCTCCTATTGATAAAAATACATTTCACAAGATCGAAATAGAAGTACCTGAAGATCTAAGAGAATTGTATGTATCATATCAAACTATTATTTTATAAAAAGCTAAGAAATATTTATAATATATATTTTAAACATCTTACTTAATATAGTGCCAAAATGGAAAATGCACATAAGGAATTTCAAAAAGCGATAGGGGCGGCAGTGTGCCGATATGTGCCTGAACGAGGAGTATTGCTGGCTATCTCCCGTCATGAAAATTTACATCGTCACAGTACCATGCTCCAAGAAATGCACTTTAGAAACTTATCGCAAAAGGTGAATTATAAAATAAGTTGGGAAAATAAGAAACTTGATATTTTTTAAATATTTTGTGACAATATAAAATTATATATTTATATATATGCATTTTATATATATAAATTTATAAATTTAGTAAAAATATATTTGATATCAATATTTTATATGTATGTTGTAGGTATTGCTTTTAAAAAGAACAGAAGAAGCAGCACGTCAACTTGAGTCAACTAAACTTCAAACAATTGGGGGGTAAGTAAAAATGTTAGAGTTGGTGTTGCCATTAAGAAAAATCTTGTGATATTTAAAAACCTGCCCCTATCCATACACTGTCCTGGTTACCATCCTGTCTGTGGTTTGCATTTACTGGCAGAAATAATTCACAAGATTTCTAATCATTAATATGTTTGCTTCAACATCATATAATTTTCATGAATGTTATGTAGTCACATTACAAATATTTATACATTTCCTTATAGTTTCCACATACAAGTGTGATTGTGTATAAAGTATTTAATAATTTCTTCATGCAACATTTTTAAAATTCATATACATCTGTGTGTGATAGTTATTTATTCATACTTATTTTTCATACTTTTGCCAATCACAAGAGCACGATGTGCATATAGTAATAAATCTGCACACAATGTGTTTTTTCATCTGTCTTTAGTGAATGTCACTTTTTGCTGACATATTCTTTTGTTTATTTCATAATATTATAACAAATAAATTAAGGCTACATTTTTCAATGTTTGCTGATTACTATTATCAGCTATATCTAATATGATTAAATTAATTTAATTTAATTTACATGATGATTTATTTATATATTAAATATTTTAATTAATTTTCTATAATTACAATTTATTTTTAATTTGTTATATTTTTAAGTTAATAAGAATAAACTTTCACAAAAATAGGAAAAACATAATAATTTATGATAGGAAATATAATAGCATTTTCAAAATTTTGTTTCAATAAATAATTTTCTTTATCTTCATTATTTAATCTTAAATATCTTGGTTAAAATAAAATCATTTTTAATAATTATATTTAATATAAAAAATACTATGAAATACAGATTAGATATGCATGTATTTGCGAATACATACATACATACATATATGTATGTATATATATATATATATATATATTTGTTGTATTTTATATACATGCACATATGTGTGTATGTATATAAAATATGCATATATATACATATTATTTGAAATACAAAAAAATTTTAAATTTTGTCATGTTTCATCTATCATAATAAATCCTTTATTTTATCATTAATCAATAAATTGACCTAAAAATAAAACTCATTAAGTAAAATATTGAATATTAATAATCATATAAAAAAATCACAAATATCTTTGTAGTTTTAGATGCTTTACATGTTTTTGCAGCAGACATTATCATTATATGTTTCAGCTATTAATATATGCAATTAGGATAACTTTAAATTTTTTTAAAGTTATCATATTATTTATCTTTGAACACTTTAATTATTCTTATTAAAATTATATTTTTAGATTGAGATACTCATTCTTCCATACATTCAGATAATGGGTTTGTATAATTTTTTTTATTGAATAAATAATATTTAATAAATTTTAAGAAGTTAGTAGAAATTTGTGAAGAATTGTTTAATGCTAACACTGGACATTAATTCTTTTTTACACAGGTATGTTTATGAGCATATAATATTTAAAAAAATACACACACACAAAATGAATATGCAGTGATATATCCTTTTCAAATTGTAAGTGTATTTGTAAACAGTGTTAATATAAAAAACAATATAATTTTTAACATTATTCGTTAAATTCTAAACTCAACACTTATTAAAATTCTTGTCGAATAGTTTGTTTTATATGAATATTTCAAAAATTAAATTTGTATAAAACTTTAAAGTTTTATTTAGTGAGGAGCAAACAGACAGAATGGCAGGGACGCAGGATAGGGCCATCTCATATATAAGTTTTCAATAAGTTACACCAAGAGTTTCTTTCTCATTTCAGCAAATTTAGATCTTCAAACTTTATATATCAGCGTGTCTCAGACTTTGAGGCAGGAGTGAAAACAAATTCAAGGTGAGATCACAGCAGCGTGGTTTAGATTTAAGTTTAGCTTATTGTATGATAAATCACACAGCTGCATTTTTTAAATGAAAAATGAAACTACACTATAAATGTGCATGCTTCGGCGTTGTGTAGATCATTCACTTAAACTCAAATGCTTCAAGTACACTGACATACAAAATTTATTATTTATTTTTTTTTCTATTTATTATGAGTTCTGTAGTAAAATTTTGCGTGATTGATAAAATAGTAAACATAAACATGTAGCTGTGATCTGTTTTCATTT